TATCATCTTGTAAATCTAATATCATGTACGGATCCCAACCATGGTCCCATTCCCCATTCTGCAGTCCCATCTGGAACTGTGATGCAGTGAGTTTTTACAACCAGTTCCTTTGTGCTCCGGTGTCCTTTTTTTTTTTTTTTAAATCATTTTATCGGGGACTCGTACAACTCTGATCACAATCCACCCATCCATCCATTGTGTCAAGCACATTTGTACATTTGTTGCCATCATCATTCTCACGTGTCCTTTTCAGGCCTCTGAATCTCTGCAAACGCTTGACCACATTACAACCTCGTGTTAACGGTCTCCCTCATCCAGGTAGTGCATCTTTACCTTTGCCTTGTCATTTCCTGTTTAAGACTTAATGCGTGTTCTCATTACATTATATTTGAGGTTTGGAGCCTCTTTGCACCTTAGCAGTCCTTGTGCTGTGCTGGATCACACATCGTACCCGAAAGCTCATCAGTTTGCACCCAGCAGCCCCCACGGGAGAAAGCTGAAGCGTTCTACTCCACTGAAAACTCACAGTCTCGAGAGCCCACAGGGGCAGTTCTGTCCTGTCCTGTAGGGTCCCGATGAGTCAGAATTGATACAAAGGCTGTGAGTTGCTTTGGTTTGTACCCTAAAAAAGGGGATGGTACCAAGCTGATCTCAGGGTTAAAGGGGGGCGGGGGTGAGAGCTGCCCAAGGCAGGAGAGTCACTAGTGTTGGTCGTGCTCATCATCCTTTGTGTGTGGCACTTAACGCACACACAAACCCTCCCCACCCTCATGGCTCCCCTTTCCACCTTGGCCAGTGGGAGGAGAGGTGCTGCAAGGGGCACTGGGGGCTGGGCCCAGAGGGGTGGCATGCAGGGTGATTCTTGGCCCAGCTCTAGGGTGAGGGGTGGAACAGGGCCAGGACACTAGAAGTAGGTCTTCAGGCTGGCTCCACCCACTGGGAGGAGGGTATGACTACATGAGTTAACCACACTGGGTGACCCCAATGCTGGGGATACCACTGTTGAGAGCCCCAACAAGGTTGAACTTTATCTGAACCTGTGCTCCCAGTGATGGTTAAGAAGCCCCCCAACCTTTCTGTTCCGGTGAATCCCAAACCACTCTGACTGTTCTGTAGAGACAGGTAGACAAGAGATTCATTAAGATGGGTGAAGGTGGTAGCTTAGAATAGTTTTCATCTTGGGAAAAAATTTAAAACCATCCTCGTGGGTCCATGGTAGAATTCTCCTTTCCTTTGTCAGAAATCCGGGCTCAAGCCCCAGCCACTGTTCTGCAGGGGTAGCTGCCACCTGTCTGTCAGCGGGGGTTTGTGTGCTGGAATGATCTTCACCAGGGTTCAGTGGAGCTTCCAGATGAATATAAAAGGGACTAGAGAAGATCAGCCAATGAGCGCCCAGTGAGTCAGAGAGGTCTGATCCGCAAGGCATCTTGGGGAGGGCACAAGACCAAGCAGCATTCCATTCCCCCACGCGCTAGTCGGGTACCAATTCATGGCCGTTAACAATAACACGAAAGCCCAGGCCACTGTCTTTTCGGTGGGATTAAAAGAAAATTATTATATGGTCTCAGTTTCCCCCTCTTTGGTGATGGAACTAAGCTCTTAATTTGTAAGAGAGAAGTAAGATTCAAATCAGTAAGTTAAATATTGTACATAAAATAAAATATTTTTACTACACCTCTAAATATCTTCCTATTCTGAAATCATAGTGCGCATCACCACGGCTATGAAGTTGACCATCTTAGTGAGGGGCTTCTATTTGCAATAGCCTGAGTAAATCATCTCCTAAATGATGTGCATTGTCTTCACATACTCTACTAAGGGCAAAATCAGGATTACCTTAAACCAAACTTATCACTGCCATCGAGTCATGCCGACTCATAGCAACCCTGTAGGACATCGAACTGCCTCCTGCGAGTTGCTGAGACTAACTCTGAGTAGAACACCTCCTCTTTCTCCCTCAGAATTGCTGATGGTTTAGAACGGCTGACCTCATGGTTAGCAGACCAATGCATCACCACTACGAGCTCCTTAGCAATACCTCAGAAAATAAAAATGCAATTTGAAAGGTCTCAAAATGTCAGGAAATGCCCCTTTTGGGGTACTGTTGGCCACACACATTTCATCTATTCTCTTGAAATCATTTCAGAAATGTTTACCAACAGACAGAGGGTCCTTGAGAAGATCTGGTGAGGTCAGTTCTTTGGGTCCTAAAACTGCACAAGTCAAAGGCTCTTCTCAAAGAGAGAGCTGATGCAGTAGAGAGGAGATTTTGAAGACGCGACTCCTTTCCCAAAGTGTATCAAAAAGTAGTGCCTTCCCTGACTCCATTTTCCTGCCTCCCTTTTTAAAATCCCACATACACACAATCCCTTGAAAAATGACTAATTGATTACTTAGAAAAGAGCCTAGCCTATGCTGCATCAGACTGAACTCTTTTGAAACCCAAACCACACTCCCTCCCATTGAGTCTCTGTCAGCTCATAGCCACCTGTAGGGCAGGGCGGAGCTACCCCTACGGGGTTCTTCATCTTTCTCATGAGGACTGGCCTTGTGGTTAGCAGCTCAACAAATAACCACGACACCCCCAGGGCTCCTTATGATAACAGACAGTAAATAGAATATCTGAGGGGCTCTCAACAATAGCAAGGGGAGGAAGAGTTTATACTGTAGAGTTCCTCAAGGATCTGAAGGACATAAAGCTTTCTCCAGGATCTGTTCTAGAAGTATGGCCAGAGGGCCCCTTAGAGGCAAGGGTGGGGAGACTTCGTTTTACATACTTTGGACATGTTGTCAGGAGAGACCAGTCCTGGGAGAAGGATATTGTGGGAAACAGAAAGATTTCTCCCAAGTCGTCTCCTCCAAATATATGCCAAACCTAGCTTCTTGCTACATATGGTGAATGACTGTACACTTGGAGTTCAACAAAAGTAGGTCAAGGGTTATTCTCCCTAAGGGTTATCACCCACCTAAAGCAAGCAGACTGTATAGTCTGCCCCACCCTAAGTAGAGTCCACTCCCTTCTGGTAAGGATAGTAGTAGACTGTTTCCTTGTAGGAGAGCCCAGGGAGGTCAAGCCCGCCCAAGGGTGACCCAGGTTAGGCCGCCATCATGAATCTAGGGTCTGCCTATCACGTCACATGTATACCTTTAGTCCCTCCCCTTCTATCATGTGTATACCCCTAGCTCATCCACTTCCTGTTATGCATATGCCCATGGTATATCCCCCTCCTCTTGCTTGTATTGCCTATTGTACAGCCCCTTCCTGTGATGTACAGTATGTCTTTACCTGTAATTAGGAGGCATGCACACCCCCAAAGATATATAAGCCTCGGTGAGCAATAAACCGCTCTCTCTCCTGCTCTCTCCCCTGCCCTCTTGGCCCATGCTGTGCTCGGACCTGGCTGTTGAAATCATGGACATCCAGGAGGTGAGTATGCTACCATGAAATGTGTCTGACTTCTTTATTTTACTCTCTCTCCTATCTCTCTCATTCTCTATGACTTTATTATAATCTTTATATATCTCATCCGTACAGTTGAGCTTACTGAACCTGTGATTACCTGTGGGGGGCTGGATTTTCCCACAGGATATCGTTCTCTGTAAAGGGGAGGGGCAGCAGAAAAAGAGGAAGGGCCTCAAGGAGATGGATTGACCCGGTGGCAGCACCGAAGAACTCAGGCACAGGAACAATTGAGGACGGCGCGGGACCAGGCAGTGTTTCGTTCTGCTGTGCATAAGGTCACTGTGGGTTGGAATTACATACTCTGTAAAGAATTAGTGTCAGAAACTCACAGGGGCAGGTCTACCCTCTCTTGTAGGGTCACTGCGAGTTGGTGTCAATTTGTTGGCAGCAAGTTTTTGAGAAGGATGCAGATCGGCCCTGGGGGCACTGTGGGTCACCCCTCCAGCTGCCAACTGCCAGGTTGGCTGTTCAAACCCACCAGTCGCTCTACTGGAGAAAGCTGAGACTGTTTCTGTCTACCCTCACTCCCAGAAAGAGAGCCAGCCTCGGGAATGTGGGAGTTGCTGTGAGTTGGATGGACTGGGTGGCAATGGGCTTGGGTTTGAAGGATGCAGACTTTTGAAACCCCCAAACTAGGAAGAGATAAAGTATTTGCCTGGTTCCCTCTTTCCTTTGTTGAAGTAATAGTACAATCTCTTCTCGCTGGTAAAATGTGTGTGTGTGGAAACAAGACAAGGGGGCTATGAGGAGAAATAATGGACCAAAAAAAGGGTTAATAGGTAAAAGTGCTCTCAGCTGCCTGGATGCGTGCCAAGCACTCTGCCAGACACTAACCTCACACTCACTGTCACTGGCTTGATCCTAACTCACGGCCGCCCTGTCTTATAGGGTGGGTTTCTGAAATGGTAATTCTCTATGGGAGTAGAAAGCCTTGTCTTTTCTCAAGGAGCAGCTGGTGGTTTAGAACTTCTGACCTTGAAGTTAGCAACCCAACAGGAAACCACAGCACTGCCAGGCCTCTCATCATTTTATTTAATTAATCCCCACAGCACCCTATGATGATTTCTCTTCGGACTATTTCACTTTTAAAAATGAGGAGACGGAGGTACGGAGAGGTTGATTCACATGGCCAGCAAGATGCACAGGTCACGCTGGGTCCCAGTTGGTCGGCTGCCCCTTTAATCACTGCGCAGGACAGTGGGCCTCGTGCTTCCTGAGAGCGAAGGGGCAGCCGTCAGCACTGGTCCTGGCAGCACGGAAGTCCTCCCAGTGCCGTGCACTGCAGCCAGCAGGACAGGGGCTGGAGGGAGATGGTTTCAAATCTCTACCTGTCTGGGCTGGATGGCTAGGATGGTGGGCCCGGGTTGGATTGCCAGTTCCCCCTCAACCTCAAGGTGGCTGAGAATGGGTCCCCTGTGTGTTCTGCTGTGAAAACGTCCCGATATCTCACTTGAGGTAGCTTCACCATGACTTGTAGAAGTCAATGTAGTTTGGGTTGGATGTTTAGATTTCCATTCAACCAGTGTGATAAAGTCAGCATATTACAAAATAGCAGGCCTGTCTGATCCGGCCCGCTGGGAAATCAGGGAGAAAACAAACCGCTGTTTTCAAATGATTTATTCCATGGGTAAAAGCTGTTTTAAGTGAGAAAGTCCACTTTACCCGCTCGCTGGTGGCAAAGGCTCTGGCTGCTGCAGCTGAATGTAGGCGAGGCAAGAGGGGAGGTAGAGCGTGAGGAGGAGCCCCTCTGAAGGTGCGTCAGTCTTGATTAGCCCTGAGTAGGGAGGGGTGAGCGGGAGCGCTGGTGGAGTAGTGGGGTCCACAGTGAACTGCTCACCCCAAGGTCAGCAGTGTGAACCCTCAGCCGTTCCAGGGACAGTCCCACTTCGTCCTATAAGGCAGCAATGGCAGTGAGTTTGGTTTGGTGAGGGAGTGGTGGGAAGGAACTATTTGGCTGGGGCTAGGGATGGCCACAGGGGTGGGTAGGAGTAGAGCCTATTCAAAGTCCACTGCTGTCGAGTCAATTTTCTCATAACAGTACTATCTAGAGTTTCTGAGGCTGCGAATCATTCCTCTTTCTCCCTTGGAGTGGCTGCTGGGTTTTGACTTAGGGCTCAAGTTCTGGGCCCCGACTTGGCAGAAGGCTATGAATAACAGGGAAAGTCCCGAATCCAGTCTCCATGTGGAGTACACCTCCACCAAATCCCTTCTGGACATTAACCAGATACCTGAACAGCCTTGCCCTCGGGCAGAGTTCATTGTTCAGAGTTCAAGAATGTCTCCCAGGGATTGAATGTGTGTCCCGACTCCAGCAAGCTATTTATTTCCTTAGCACCTCCAAATGAGGTCATCAAGCTGTGATTTGATAGACAGGTGAACTCCTCTGATAGACAGGTGAACTCCACCCCTCCACTCATAAGTCTCAAATTGACAACACATTACGTAACTACCACAGCCCCTCTAGCACAGAGTATAACTAGAACTGCCCTTGTGGATTTCCAAGACCATGGCTTTTTACAGAAGAGAAACCTGGTCTTTCTCCAGTGAGCAGTGGTGAGTTTGAACCTTCAACCCTGTGGTTAGCACCCCTGGTAGATAACCCACTGTGACACCGGAGCTCCTTGTAAGATTTAAAGAGAGACAAGCCGCTCCACTGTGTTCATTTCCTAGCTCTGCTGTGACAAAATAAATAGGGTAGTTTTCAGACTAGAACGTTCTCTCCGTTCTGGAGGCTAGAAGTCCGAATTGCCACGAGCCACACTCTCACTGAAAGGCTTCTAGAGGAAACCCCTTCTCAGGTCTCCTAGCTTCCTTGGCTCACAGCTGCAGCATAACCCTTCAGATGGATTAGGACCCACCCTAGTCCATGTTGACCCATGTTACTGAGAGCTTCATCACCCGTTTCTAAACAAGGCCACATCCACAGCATTGACGACTTCGCCATATCTTTTTAGGTTCACAATCCAATCCATTCCATCCACCTTTGGGAAAAAGCAGCAGCCCTGGGGGTGTCGTGAGCTATGCGATGAGCTGCTGACCACAAGATCAGTGGTTCAAACCCAGCAGACATCACTCCTCAGGAGAGAGATGAGGGTGTCTACGCCCTGAAAGATTGAAAGTCTCAGACACTCCCTAGGGCGGTCCTATTTTGTCCTATATGGTCATGCTGAGTCAGAATGGAAAGTTTTGGTGAAAGGAACCACGTGAGCCTACAAAATAGGAACAATTGCAGGATGTCACACTGGAGACTGAACCACCCATCCAAAGCCAAACCCACCGCCATCAGTTAGATCCTGACTCACAGCGGTCCTGTAGGGAGTTTCTGGGGCTTTCGGAAATTTTTAAGGAGCTGAAGCCTCATCTTTCTCCTGAGGAGGGGCTGTGTACTAAACTAGGTGTAGGGTATGCCCTAAGAATTTGAGATAAAACAGCAGATGAGATGTTGAACAAGACAGGTGTGGGACAGCAACCCTGGCTGAGGATGATGGAGGCAGTCAGGCCTGGTGTTGAGCCCAGGACAAGAGAGGGTGAGACAAGGAGTTTTCTCCAGAGTAGACAGAAGGTCTTTCCCCACTAGGGCCTGTGCCCCAAATCCAGACTCTAGCCTGGTACCTGTGAGATGTATTTCTGTTCATTAAAATTACCCACTTGTGAAATGTCTAGTAATGCACCACGAAGAAACTAACCAAGCCACACCCAAGCTCACTGCCATCAAGTCAATGCCGAAGTCTAGCATTCTACCCTGATAGGACAGGGTAGAACCGCCCCCTGTGAGTTGCTGAGACTGGCACTCCGGAGTAGCTGGTAGTGGTGAACTGCTAACCTAGCAGATTGCAACTGGACGCATCACCACTATGCCACCAGGGCTCCAGGAAAGGATAGAACACATTTAACCCAGTATACAATGACTCTATGATCAACATTATTTCAGTATAATTAAAAAAAATAAAACTAAGGTGAGATCTAAAACACCTTTCTTGCTTCCCCAGAGTAGGCCTGCCTTGGGGTCCATAAAGGAGATTCCTCTTCTTGGCCCAGAGTGACTGTGTAATTTGCAACAGGTACCAGTTCATTCAGAAGTGCACTTGTTCTTCCCAGGTAAAGTGCTCTGGATTTAGGTATGGAGAGCTCTCTGGGACTATTTCTGTGGTCTCCCTGTCAGGGATCAGCCCTGTCCGCTGAGCATGCCTGTCTGAGCCCCCATGCATCGACCCCTTGTCAGAGAATTAGTTGGACTCACAGTAGCCCCTGGTGTTATTTTTTCTGACTGTGACCTTTATGGAAGCAGACCCCCAAGCCTTTCTTCTGTGACACCACTGTGTGAGTTCCAACCATCCATTTTTTTTTGTCTGCCAGGCAATTGCAACTTCTTGGATGTAGAGGGAGGATGAAATCTCACCTTCAGGAAGAGATGATTCTGGAACAAACAAACAACAAAAATACAACGATGTGATCATGTCAATTAGCAGCAGCCGTGATATGTCCCAAGAATCCAGGTGGCATAGTGGTTACTTGTGAGGCTGTTAACTGTAAGGTCATCAATTGGAAACCACCGGCTGCTCCCCAGGGGGATGACAAGGCTTTCTATCCCGCACAGTTGCAGTCACAGATATCGGCAAGAACCGTTCTGCTGTGTCCTATGAGGTCACTCTAAGTTGGAATTGACCCGATGGCCGTGAGTGAGTGATATATGTCCCACAGTCCAGAAATGAGAAGGAAGCCCCCAGGGGCCTTGAGCAGCTTGTGCCCAAATTTGGGGACTTTGGGGAGAAAGGAGTTGTTGTAGCATACGGAGGAGGATGGAACAGAACCGAACGGCAACCAAAAGTTGCTGTGAGACAGGAAGTACTGGAGAATCGGATTCCGCTATTTGGGGGTGGGAGGGGTTTTTCTTTAGCTGCTTATATTTTCTGTAATTAGGTCATTTTCATTCTCTCTTAGTGCTCAGTACATTTTTAAAATGCTAGTCTGCTCAGCTGTGCTGAGGAACCAAGAAAGAGTTTTTTGTCTAAATTGGATCTGAGTGCTAAAGTGGAAGCGGCTTCCCAGCCAACCGCTAAGCAGTGGAGACAGTGGGATTTGTGTTGGCACAGTGAGAGGTACCCAAAGGGGGAGGGCATAGAGGCAACCGAGCTGGAAACCCTTGTTCAGAAACGCTCCACACATCCAGAAAAGTTCACCAAACCTGGCTGCTTCTCTCCATTCCTGTGAGAGAGCTCTTGTGGTGTAGTGGTTACACGTAGGGCTGCAGCCTTCGAAGTTCAGCAATTCAAAACCATCACGGGTCAACTCATGGGAGAAAGATGGAGCTTTCTGCTGCCATGAAGAGTTTCAGTCTTGGAAGCTCATAGAGGCAGTTCTGCCCTGTCCTATAAGGCTGCTGTGTGTTGCCATCGACTCAATGGCAGCGAGTTTGGTTAGAATTTGGGTCTCTCTCCCTGTGGTGTCTTTACTCTGGGGCATCCAGAAGAGGGGCATGAAGCAGATGGGTACCCTTGGAGCTTACACTCAGGATGGAGCCAGCAAGGTATGGGGGTGAGGGGCTGCGAGGGAGAAGTTTGAGCAGGAACCACTGGGCTGCCAGTTACCAAATCATCTTTTCTAGCTGGGGAAGCAGTGTGGGACACATGTAGATTGCAGGAGGACCTCAACCAGTGCCCAGGGCAAGGTCCCCGTGAGGTTTTGGTGGGCTGGTCCAGCCTCTGAAGCTAAGGGAGGCACAGGGCAGAGGCCAGCTAAATGACTGCCATGTAAAGCAGAGATAAAGGTGGAATAGACTGAGGCCATAGAAAGCTAGAGGTGGACAAAGGCTGACCAGTGTAGGTCACCAAGGGCCACCAGGCACACTGGCCACAAGAGATGGAAGAGTTGACTCATTCTAGACCCCATCCAGGTTCTATTTGAGTCCAGGCCTGGTTTCTAGAGTTGCTGCTCCAAGTCCTATGGGGCCACCACTAAACAGAGTTGGGGGTGGGCAGCCACTGTCATGGCCAGTGCCAAGGTTCAGGCTGCCTTCACCATCTGCTGCACTCCTCTGAGTATACCAGATTAGCTTAAAACAACAAGCCTTTCTTTGCTCACAAATCAGCCTTTCAGGCAGAGCTCAGGGGTGCCGCTTGTCTCTGCCCCAGACTGTCTGGGTCTCATGCTTCCAATGGCTGCCAGTGGGGCCAGCCGGGATCTGCAGGATATCTCTCATCTTGCACACTGAGGACACTTCCTCGGGTCTCTCCCATGTTCTCCATCATGCTGGCCTCAGGGTAGTTCCACTTAGTGGTAGCTCGGGACTCCAACTGGACCGATACGTAACATCATGATAAATGCACAACAGATTGGAATTGTCAAGGAGCGTGTCTTGCTTGCACCCACAATCATTGCTCATGAAAACAGCAGTCAGGAGATTAAAATACGTGTTGCATTGGGTCAATCTGCTGCACAAGACCTTCTTAAGAGTACTGAATAGCAAGAGGTTACTTGGAAGACAAAGTTGTACCTGACCGAAGCCATGGTATTTTGAATTGCTTCATATGCATGTAAAAGTTGGACATTGAACTAGAAAGACTAAAGAAGAATTGGTGTGTTTGAATTGTGGTGTTGGAGAAGACTATTGAAAGCACCATGGATTGCTCAACCGACAAATCTGTCTTGGAAGAAGTACACCCAGAGAGCTACTTAAAGGCAAGGATGGGGAGACTTTGTCTCAGTACTTTGGACATGTTTTCAGGAGACACCAGTCCCTGGGGAAGGGCATAATGCTTGGTAAAGCAGAGGGGCAGTGAAACAGAGGAAGACCTTAAACAAGACGGCTTGACATAGTGGCTGCAACCACGGGCTCAAGCACAGGACAATGGTGAGTGTGGTGCAGGACCGACCAGTGTTTCACTTCGTTGTGCATAAGATTGCTATGGGTTAGCAGTTACATCATCTCCTGTCAACTTGGATGAAGGGGTGGAGTCTATCTTGTCAATCAGGTCATAGCCAATGAGGCCTCTGTGTGGGCATGGCTTTCTCCTGAGGATTCTGGGAACTCCTGACTTCCTCCCTGGAGATGGAACATACATTCTCTGCTTCACATTCCTGTTGACAAGACACATGAAGTTATGCTGATGGAGCCAGAGCCCTGGAGTTGGAGGAGCCACATAGAGACCCATGCTGAGATGCTTCCACCACCACTGGATCCACAAGACTTTCCACCCAGTGGCCTGTGATCTTCCTGAATCTGGCGTCATTGCATGTGTTGCATGAGACTGAAGAAGAATTTACAGACTGGTATCAGACAGATGGGCTAATATT